GGGGATTTCTGTTGCTTCTACTTCAGGTTCAAAAGGAACTGCAATTGGATCCGTCGTTTCGGCCTTCGGATTTATCTTGGCCTTACTCGGATTTCCAAACTTTGTCTTCGCCATCGCAACAGTAAACAGATTCAAACATAAAACACGAAGGAGATCGATAACACGAAGGACAAAAAGGAGAATCGAGAACACGAAGTTATCCTTCTCGTTCAAACGGCTTTAAGAACAGAAGGAGAATCGAGAGAGAATTGGGGTTGGTAGGGTTTGATAGAGAAGAGATTTGGGGCGGATTCCCCTATTTTTAATTCAATTCGATTTTTACCCAGATTGGATCCAGATGTATGCGAGTCGGGTCGTTTTATTAGGTTGGGTCTGTAATTTCGTTTCTTTTGCCTGGTTTTATCGTAATATGCTAGTTTTTTATTTTTAAAAAATGAAAAATGATTATCTGATTAATACATGAGCTTCTGAGACTTTGACTTGGTAAAAAGGAGCGTGTGAGACATTAACTCTAAAATAGGTGAGAGACGGATCAGTGGGTTGATACCGTAGAGACGGTTCTTCGGGGACACGTGACATCGTGTAATTGGACCGATCGAAAAATTCGTGTTCATCTTCCAAAATCGCTGATTCTTCCAAATCGATTAAGCGAAGATGTCTTTGAGACCTAGCGCGAAGACGGAGGTTCGCCGGAATCGGTACAAAGTGGCGATGGATGCGGATGAGGGATGGCGGAGGCGAGAAGACAACATGGTTGAGATCAGGAAGAACAAGCGGGAAGAGAATTTGCAGAAGAAGAGACGCGAAAGACTCTTTGATTCCGCCGGTTTTGGCTTAGCCGCGGCACAATCGAGATAAGATCTTTCGTCAGAGAAGAGAGTATGTGTTTCTTCTTCGTGTTTACCGATTACTTCAATCAGATCGTATTTCCCATATATCAAATTAGAGATCGATTTATTGGTTTAAAATATTTGATTTGTACTAGATTAGAACTTTTTGCGATTGATGAGAATATATGTATATTCGAATTGATTTGAAAATTTCTTGGTACTGATGCGTCTATATATTTGCATTATCTGTGTACATATTTGCATACCTTTATCCTCTTTAGCCATAGTTTAGTTCACATTTGCATCTTAGAGTCCTAGGATAGAGTTGTACATATTTATCTTTCTTTTACCCTTTTTCAGGTGGTACTTGTGCCTAAATGGATTTATCCGGCTTACTAGAGCCTAGAGGGTTGGAGTGGAGTACAGAGGAGCAGATGAGCAGAGGAGTTACGAGGTTCTGGGTCAAACAGGGAGCAGTGGAGCAAAAATCAGTCAAGAATCATCAAGGAACACTGGTGAGAAGCACTTGGAATAGCAGAAGGATGGAGTCTCAACAAACCTACTGAAGTTCATGACTTGAGTGAGAATCAGGATGTTAGTGCACCTTAAATCTATGCACAGATGTCCCAGGTTATCCCCTTGTTATGGTGGAGCATCAAGACTCTCCAACCGTTGGACCAGGCGCATCAAACTAGGTGAAGAAATAGCTAAAGAAACCGATATCCTATGATATCGGCACCAACCGATGAGGAAGACCGATATATACTGCGCCTATCGAGAGACTCGTGTCATGACTCGAGAGCTGCTGGACGCACTGGATAGGCAACAGAAATCGGTCACTTACCTGATATGGAGTGACCGATATTTAGTGTATTTTGTTGACTTTCCTGGGTCGACCGTTGACTCGAGTTGGGCGATTCATTAACGCGTCGGATCGACCCGGGTACTGTTCTGAGGGGCTATATATATGTTCTTAATCCCTGAAAAATCTAGGTCTTGTTTTTC